CAGCATAGACTGGTACATGACTGTGATAGGTCTCACATTGTTTTTACTTATCTAAAACAGGAGCCGTAGAAATGGAGCTCCCTTGATATTTGACCATCAGTCAACCACGTATCGCCAGGACAACTAGTAAGATTGATAGAACAGTTAACCCTATCGATAAGAATTTATTGTGACATGTGTATTCAATGATTTTTCGTAACGACAAAATAAAGATCACATATTTCTCCTATTTGTCACACTTTATATGTAACCACATTTATATTCAATATCTATTGTTTCCCTGTATCAATGACCTGAACACCGATTACCAAGACGCTCTATGCTGAGTAGTGTAGAGGATGGTTGGAAGAGAGTTAGGGGTGGCCAAACCAAAACGTGGCATCACTCCTTGAAGTCACTAACTTCTAGTCTTAGCCATGTTGGTAGATGCAGATTACCTGGTTGGGGTCCGCGTGACTAACTTAACCAATGGTTGGAGACTCTAGGTGAAATGGCTCAGAATCGATCACAATGGCGTAGGTCTATACACTCTTTATCTTCCCTTAAACCTTAAGATTAAAATTGCTTCATAACGTTCTTCCTTCCTATATTATATCCTTATATACAAACTTTCTTTTATATAATACCACCACTAAATTAACTACTATGAATCCGGCGTTCATCTTGTTGTGCTAACGAGGTATGGCAACTTGAACCGATGCATAAATGTGCCTGGTCCTACGTTGTAGCTGTCTGACTGTATCAATGACAAAGAAATATACATTTGTTTGGTTATATCTAACATACACTGCATGACCGCAGTTTATTAAAATGTAAACGCTCTCTCAGCTGTCCATTCTTCGGCTTTATTGGCCACAGCCCTTGGTTGAAGATTATGATAGTATTATAGCATCCTTTTAGGCCTTCCCACACTACTTCGGAGCTTTGGTCCGGATCATTATTAGATAATACTATCGGATTTAATCTTCTTCATTTTGCCATTAGTACCATCACGTGCAGAGAAACCTTTGTTAATCAAGTGAACTTATTTGTGGTTGTTATCTCAGAGAGCACCTTACAAGTAGCATTCATTTCATAACAACTTGTTGTTCAATATACCATTTTATATTTACACTGTAATTTGTTACCTTTTGCGTTACTCATAGACATACGTTTAGGTTTGTAGTGTTAATTCTTTTAGTATATTATTAGTAACTTTGCGTATGATTTAAAGAGCATAACAGCTTTCCAGTGTTTCCAACTAAGATCAATAAGGGTTATAATCTGTTAAAATAATATCATTTAATATTGTAAAAATAGAAGTCAGGCACAGAGCAATCCTGTCATAAGTATTTTTTTCCTTTTGAAGTTTACTTCAACTTGAGTACGGAGAACTTTCATGACTTAGATTTTTCATCACTGCCACAAAAGTTTGAGATTTTTATGATCCACTTAAGGAAGACTAGGTGTGAGCTTTATTTCGTCAGTAGATTTTTCGCTTTACCAAATAAGTTACTGTTATGTCTCGTAGGTTGAACGCTTTATTCGGATAACCCAAGGCTAGCACTATTCAGCGACTTGAAAGACCAGAGAGAAGACACGAGTATCAGAGAAGCACTTTACTACAAGGTTCATTATGTACAGAAAAAACAGGGGTTTTATAGTAATTAAAAGACCTTGAGATTACATAGTAGCAGTATGTTTAACAGCCAATCAGGACCTCATTATTTTAGTAGCATAGCTTCTAACTAATCGCTGATTGGTTGGGCTCTTTATGGGCCTCTCTGGAGGCTCTGATAGAGTTTATTGTAAGCCGACCTAACACCTTCCCTTTTTTTTGAAGATTCGAAGATTAGATTCTGATTTTAAAAAAATTATCTGTAAGTTGAAATTCTCCAACATTTCCTCCCCCACGAAATAATGTTGGATCTTCATATCTCCAATTTACAATTAATGACTTTATTTAGAACACATTTCTCGTATTGAATGCAGAATCCACTAGAAATGAATAGATGATGATGAACGACATTTGATTATAGGTCATCGGAATTTGGCTTTTCTGAAACATCTCCATCAAATTCATTAAGATTTTCACTGGAGGATATTTGATAGCTAGGGAATCATCATCTAATGAAATTGCCTTAGGTTTTTGACCAGCATTTGATTCAACCGACTTAGTTTCCTCATCTTCATAAGAATTTTCATCAAAATCATGTGCACCATTCCAGCTTTCTTAGCCGATATCATGTAACCCGTAGTTTAATTCTGACTGAAGTTTGTCTTCAGAAATCGTCGGATTGAGTGGTGCTTCATTAGACTCTGGGCTCAGGGCTTTGTCTACGGAACCTTGTTTTTCTTTGACATCTGATACTGTCACAGTTTCATGTGCATTTAGCAAGATATTGTCTTGCTTTGAACCGGCAAACTTACCCATTTTACCTTTTCCATCAGATGTGAAGGGAAATGAACCCTCAACTGGGCGTTCTTCTGGGACGGCCATTTTAGCACCATTATTGAAAAACTTGTCCAAGACTGTTTCAAATAGTTGCTGCTGGGAGGCTAGCATCTGTTGTTGCCGGTGTTCTAAGATTATCAGCGCCTGTTCTAAAGAAATCGTCATTTTTTCTGCTGATAATAATAATAACTCCGAAAATTCATCGGCAATTATTACAGCTTGTTTGATTCCTAAATCACGTCTCGGTTGCTGTATTTCTTTTTGCCAGAATTCTCGACGACAATTGTTGTATTTTTTTGTGTACCAAAAACCCACCGAAATCCCCGTCGCCACTGTTGTCTCGTAGGTTGAACGCTTTATTCGGATCCTAGCTATTCGGATAACCCCAGGCTAGCACTATTCAGCGACTTGAAAGACCAGAGAGAAGCACTTTACTACAAGGTTCATTTATGTACAGAAAAAACAGGGGTTTTATAGTAATTAAAAGACCTTGAGATTACATAGTAGCAGTATGTTTAACAGCCAATCAGGACCTCATTATTTTAGTAGCATAGCTTCTAACTAATCGCTGATTGGTTGGGCTCTTTATGGGCCTCTCTGGAGGCTCTGATAGAGTTTATTGTAAGCCGACCTAACAGTTACATAGCCAACAGTGTAATATGTAAAACCCGCTACAATAACAACTTTCAAGGATAACCAGGTGATGGATGCAATGAGAGCAGTCAACGCATTTCATTTGACTAGATGGCTAAACTATCTATGCCATAGTACAACTGTATGGCATAGTAACTACGCCGACTTTGACAGTTAGGAAGAGAGCCCCTGCGCTTCTTAGATACTTTAAGAAAAGCCTACAAACGAGGCTTTCGATTTTACTAAAAGGAGGTTTCATCAACTACATCAAGCTGGTTTTCACAGTATAATCATTGTGTTCCTTTGAGGTTGATCTCACCAATATCTACGCGAAATGTCCCTGAACTAATTATGTTACTCCGTGGAATTTTTATCATCAATAATAAGCCGACTACTTATCAGAGCCATCAGTATAATCTGTTTAAGATATTCTACACTAATCTTGTACCTTGAACACCTTTGATATGAAATAATATACCTGAAAATAGTTATGTATTCTCAATTCAGACTTGGTTGACGGACGGACAAATGAAAATACAGTATGAATAACCCAAATATTTGATTTGATTATTAAGTAATTATCAAGAACGGTTAAATGATCTTCATACAATGTACATACACGTACGGTCTGTCTATTAATTGAATTCCAGGTCGATAACTAATCAACCAATCGCAATATCTAGTCTGATTATACACGATAAACATTCCAAATCTCAGAAACTGAACTTTGAGTTATGTCATGTCACTTAAATATATATAAGTTTTAATCACTGAAATAAAGGCAATCGTCATTTAAAGTGTTAGATAAGTAGCTCTTAAAATTATTTAATAAAGTAACACACTCTTTACCAACATCTCGGAAGCTCTGAACATTTTTATCATGTAAAGGGTTAATAATAAATCACGCTTGTATGCCGATCAACCGTCTACCTCAAAATTTGTTGTTGTCTGGGGTGGAAGGAAGTTGTCAAATCAAGACATATCATCAGTACATGAAATCATGGACTGTAATTTTAAGCCATGTTGGTGGGTGTAAGATGCCTGATGGAGACCCACATGATAACGGCTATCACCGATTGAAGACATAGGTCACAAGTAGTAACAATGGTCCAGGTCCATTTATCTTAACATCGAATTTTATGTACTGCATTCTTCCTATAAACCTTTTCATTCCATCTTCTGGAATTATATTCGTAGCGGTCAACATTTCCTATCCCAACTCTTTTCATTCACTTATGTCAACTGTTTCACACTACATCTTACACCAATGTTAAATTTTAGTACATATTTAGTTGTAAGCAGCTGATGAGATACCGCGAAATATAATGAATTTATATTACTCTGCATCCGTGTTTGTTCTGGCTTTATTTAAATCCATAAAGAGAACTAACTGCATGAAATTTCTCTCCATTATTGCTATGATGATTACTGCTTCTTCGATATCTATTTTGTTGATTTCATCACCCCATGCTGACACGGTGTGGTGACTTAAGCTAATGCATATTTATGGCAAGCTCCATAATAATTAAACAAGACTCATTAAGGGACAGAATCTGTCCATCATGCCATTAACAGTTGGAATGAAACATTTCAAGAGGAGTAGATATTCATATTGGATTGAAGATGTTAAGAGTGATATGGCATAAAATCGGTTACAATATCACAGAGTTGAATGTATCATTCACATTCCCCTCTAAATTTCATTTGAAATTAAATCGCCTATATATTAGCATTCCTTAATATGATTACAGATTCTTGCAACGATCAACTAACAATCCAGTATGATAAGTGATAGATGATAATGTGGAGAGCCAATCAGAAGTCAAAAGCCTAATGAAAAGGTCAATCGATGACAATCAATCAACTTCCTAAGGATAGAGCGGTATATATATGAATGAGCATTTGTGCATTTTATTCAGTAGCCCAATACACTTTCTCGCTCAAGTGGTCAGTTGGAGGGGGGAGGTTAGTGCATGGCACACCATGTGTTAGTGTCAGATTTCGGTCACCACATGTCACAACAGATGATGACCATGAAATTTAATAAAAATGAAACATTAAAAACTTGGTAACTAAATGATATTTAATAAAAATAATGAAAGAACACTTGGCAAAATATCACAAATACACGCATATACACAAAGAATAATCATAATCGAACTGATCCCTTGAGTGATGATGCATGGTTCATACAAGTATGTGTATACACACATAAACAAAGAAATCAAAAGTACATACAGTTATTAGAAGGCATAATTAAAACAAAAAGAAATACAAAATCTATGCACTTGTCTATGCATATCCAATAATGACAATTAAAATGGTACACAGCACCTAACACCATGGTATATCACAAATTTCAATATCACAACATGGAGAAATAGGATAACAGGGTGAAAGGGGAACAAACAATAAATCATTAAGGATATTTATTATTTGGTTGACGAAGTAAATTTATAAAAGCTTTATCATCTATATGTCGAGCAGAAAATCGATTATATTCTTCATATTCTTCATCATCATAACCATTAATATTATTATCATTATTATTAATAGTATCATTAAGTAATCGTTGTCTATCTGTTATTTGTTTAAATGATTCATTTTTTAAAGAATTCATCTTATGTTGATGTTGTGATTTATTACGTAAACGTCGTTGTAATAGAAATAAATTTGGTTGATAATTATAATGTTTAAACTTATCATTATGATTACTACTATTAATAGTAGTATTATCAGGAAATAGATAAAGATAACGTGTAGATGAAATACATGTACATATTATGTATATCATTGATACAATTGTACAACATAATAAAACAACTCCGACTATTATTTGTTTACATTTTTAAAAAAGAAAAAACAACATTTTAATTGATCAAATTAGTAAACTTTTTTCGAGAAGAGAACATAAACAATAAGATAAGATAACAAAAAATTATATACTATCATCAAAAGTGCCTACCCCCTCTCGAAATGATCTCATATGGCCGCGCATATATAACCTCTAACAGGGAAGTCCTACTCACTGCCCTCTCTCACCGTGGGTGTTGTTTACGAAATTGAGAGAACGGAAAGCGAATGTCCGGCGCTTTAATCGAGTTGGTGGACACGGATGGTCCACCTAGGGGAGTTGAAAGACCCTGATTCCAAACCAATGGTGCATATGGCGTATGAATCAACCATTGGTGACCGGCTACCATGGGAATGCATCTCCTCACGATGCTCCACTGCCTTGTGGATCAGACTTATAGGTCAAAGGCTCCGGGTGTGGTCCCCTAAGAAAACCATCCGCTTCGATTTCGGCACCTGGGCAGTATCACAGCCCTCACACAAACCAAATGAGATTTGTGTGGCGCATATATATCTGGTTCCCCTTTGTACCAATATTTATGTGCTACAATAAATAAATCATCAAAAGTAATTTCTTTATATATAATAATAATAAATCATATACTTATAGTCAAGTAAAAAAGATGTAACATGAGTAGTATATGATGAATGAGCAAGTGAGCGTTTAAATAAGCTAAAACAATACCGATTGAAATGAGTAAACAGATAAATATACTTAAATAAATAATTATGATACGATACTTATGTAGTAAACGAGAAATCAGGTAGGGCGAACCAATTTGAAGGGAAAAGTTCGGGAGAGTGAACATCAACTCTGAGATGCAGGTACATTCTAACTGACGAGTCCCAAATAGGACGAAACTCGCGTCAAACTGGATTCCACTGCTAGCCACTATCCATCTTTGCTTACGAACCAGTTTATTGTTGCTTTTTTAAAATTACACACAACGTCTTGTTAAAATATGGAAACAATACATTGATTACATTATTTGTACATTTCCCTTCAGTTGTCATTTACATGCTTCATGATTGTACCGATTCTGTTGTTATTTCAATTGTTCTCTGTTTTCTTTCTTGTTTTTTTCTCAATTCAATCTTTTGTTGGTAGACACTACACCTCCAATTAGTGATACATATTAGTTACACCTTCCGGCATAAATACCATCCACCACACTTATACTATACTGTGCAAACAGTAGATTAATGAAGATATTATTAGCAACACGGGTGGATAGCTAGCTAATATAATGGGTAATATACTTGACATACAGTTTACTAAATAGAAGGTTTGAAATCCACTTCATTCAATCCTCTTATGAGGAAATGTGTAACATTAGTGAACAGAACTTATGGTGTGATTCATAGCTTGGTGGACAAATTACTATGTGATGGGTAAGTTTTACTAAATTGAATTAGAGTAATTCGTAACTCTTAACATAACATTTCGATTAAATTATAATGCAGGAGAACTATACTTTGTATGTTGTTAATAACATAATACTTGTCTAATATTTATGATAATGAGCCGACATTTACTGTATTAATGTTGGGTATGTTAGATCCTCAGAACTCACTTGGTAAGTATCCTTGCTTTCGCCCAAAAGCACCCATTCTCACTTCATGTCGTAGTTCCCACTTGGGAGGGCCTTAAATGTCATTGGTTCGTTGTCTCTTTTAATATGCTATTTTGTAACGTTTCCCAAAGACATTTCTATGCTATATGTATACGCTTGAGTTGTGCTTGCTGTTATTCGTGCTTCTGACTGCTTGCAAATACATTCCGATTTTCTGAACGTGGACTTCTGTCTCTAGTTAGCGGGACTGGAAGGCATCGGAATAGTTAGCTTATTTGGTCATTGTGTTGACGAGTCTTCGTTCCGTTTGCAGATGTAGGTAAACTCTGAATCTCTCCAGACAGCAGTTAAACACTAAGCTATATATATATATATATATATATATATCGGTTAATAAGTTTCGCTTCTCCGTAGGAGTGTTAATTGTACATTTATGCCACATGCTTAGTAATTTTGCATATGCTGTCAGCCTGTATAGTTGTGGAAAACTTATACCCACAAAATCGATTTTGCTATGGAGTGCAAACAATCATTAGTATCGTACTGTAAAGTCATTTCACAGATACACATATCCCCTCTGTTACATTGTGTGTTTTACTTCTTTAAAAAAGATCAGATTTGTTCGAAATGCTTAGAAGTCATCTTCCAGATAGAATAGACTTATATTTATTACCATTGTTACTTAGCAATGTTTTGTATCCACCTGGTCATACCTGTAAACTGACATATATTATGTAATAATTTTCAGAACCTATTACTAGTATTGTTATTATCATTATTACTTAAGATACGTTACCTTAATTCTGTGTTCAATACGCTGAGAGTAAAACAGGAAATCGATAACTAACTTCAAGATAAAACTTTTTGATAGCTTTCAAAGCATAACAACAGATTATGAAGGATTTAAAATCCTGATTTAATTTAAATATCTTTCAACCATATATTTTAAATCATAATAGATAATTACTATTCTTTTACGTATCAGCTCCTAATGGAAAACAGTTGACTAGATTTTAAGATTATTATGTCATGAGATGTTGTTTGTCAGGGTGTGTCAACTAATATCCGTAATTGATATTCATATCCTATTGTACTGATTTATCCTTATCCTTCAAAACAAATGACATACATGTTAGTAAAATGAACATAGTAACGAGTAACTTTCACGACATTGTGTGCAATCAAAAAAGACTACGAGATCACCTAAAGTCGGCGAACGGGATGAAGGATCAGCGACACAAAGATAAGACAAGCTAAATCACTCCGATGCGTCCCAGCCCTGGTACTAGAGGGAGAAGACCTAGTTCAGATGAGGGAAATGTATATTCTATAAACAGACAGAAGCACGAAAAACCAAGCACATAACTCGAGCATATATATTCATCATAAGAAGGCCCTTAAGAAAACGTATTAAAACGGGTAACGAACTAATGACATGTAGGGTCCTTCCCAGTGGGAAATAAAATCTGAAGGTAAAAATGGGCGTTTTGGCGCGAGAACGAGAAATTCAAACTTCTGAAATAAAATTACAAAAATAAGACTTTACCAGGTGATTTCTGGTGATTTAGCAACCCCAACAGGGAAAAATGTAACCATTACAAAGCAGTAGACAAAAATCTGTCAACATTGTATGTGCGCGGTAAGTAACAAGTAACTTCGAAAAAACTATTGAGTAAACTAACCAGTGAACATATCCAGAAAATCTGAGAAGTAGACATTAATACCACTACTATGACGAAGGAGTGACATCACACGTGATAAACTGCCATTGTTTGGAGCTGGTTTATTTAAATTGAGTAAGGCACACATCAGTGGATACATATCAATCAGATAAATAGAACTAATTATTTGACCACCACCAACAATCGCACTTCTAAAACCTGGTCCCGTAGCTAGAAAGAATGGAGACATTTCATCATGGTCCGGATCATAGCCATGATCTCCGCGTTTAGCTGAAATACAGTAAACAAGGAGCATCACTGAATAAATCCAACAGATAGAATTGATCAAGAGATTGGGATTTAATGACTAACTGTATTAAGGTGATGTGAAAACGTAGTGTCAAAATTAAATGAATGGCCTTGTTAACTACAGAATAAATGTTTTGACGTTAGGAGGATTAGTTACATCTGACGACCTACTATCAACGTATTTGTCGGGAATAAATGAAGTTATTATAAAGTGAAGTTTAATGATTTGTTGAAATTTTCAATGGTTAAAAAGAAGTGGAAGAATACGGATTGATAGATGATGCAATCTAATGTGGTACAGTAATGAATGTTCACAGGACGGAATTATTGATGTATGGCACCAAGCCAAAAGATCGGGTTTTTCTTACGACCGAATAGTATGTTTATATACAAATTGTTGACAGGAAAATAACACGATTAGATGTCATAAACAATTAGTCAATATTATAACTTGTTGGCCAAGTGGATGCCTTGTTAACGTATGACGTGATAAAACCGCCAATCAGAGAGCAGCGAATTATCGATTGGGACAGTGACACACGAAAACCTCACGAGCAGCTTAGAGTACGTATCGGTCGTGCTTTCTGCCTAGCCCAGCCGGTTAATTCCAGAACACCAATAACAGCCTCTGCGGTATGAATCATTGTATTTCAAACATACTGAGTTTATATACCAAACAAACTGACCACATTGTACCAATAAAATAGAAAATAACATTTGTACAAGATTTGGCCAAATGTGGCTGTGAATGTGGGAGGCAGTAATCAATAGACTAGGGATAACTCAAGAATGGTAAATCGTATAATAATAGTTTATAGGTCAAAATAAAGCTTAGAATAAGAGGGACACGAATATGAATAGTTGTTATTTAGCGAATATACGATAAAAATTATATGCATAATGTGGGTCCATAAATGGTTCTCAAAGTTACCATCTATTCTTGTTATCGGAACATAACAGTCAATATTAGTTTTTTGGGTCGTTCACTACCCAATGGATTAAGTTCTAACTGTTGAACCTAATTCCATCTCATCAGATCAAAACTATGACACAGAGACTATAACCTATGATCCATACTTCCCATGAAGGTTATTAACGCCAAATGACTGTCCAAGACTCAACAGATGATGCACAGTTCGAAGTTGTGACCCACTTGTTTAAAACAGTGTTTAAGCCACTAACATAGAAGTGACTTTATTTATTGCTATAAATATATGGACAGATACGATATCAAAACCTAGATATATTAAAGATGTAATTAAATGAAATGATCAATTTGCAGTTCTAGAACTTTGATTGTTACTCTGAGACAGAACAACAGGTGAAAACTGGCAGGTTGATGTTGGTATGAATAACGTGGCTGAATGTCGCAAACCCTGGGTAAAATAACTCGGAATTGGTTTTAATAGAGTAAATGAATTCGCTGTTTGTTTACTCCCGAAATGTAAGTTCCAAAACTTAGTACTTTTTGTTCCGTAAATATCTTTTTTTCTCCTATCACATCCTTTAAGCACAATATTTTCGCTACTACTTCTACTTTGGTATGCATTTTGATAATTTCATCTCACTGTGCTCGTATTGCGTGTGAACTTCGAACAATGAACATTTACGTCGGGTTCTACATTACCATCTGACTAATAAGATAAGCTCTATAACTGTTTCTTGAGCATACTCAAGTCCAGGCATCTGTGAAAGCCGGGTTTATGCGTACGCGTTAGTTAACCTGAAATCTTCAAAATAATGGATAACAGTTGTATGATTTACTTCTAATGTTTAAGAAATACGAACGGTCATAAGATAATAGTAGATTTTGCATTGCAATGAGCAGTTTAATATTACCAATTTTAAATAAAAATCTAAAGGAATCATCCGAGTAGTTAACTTTCTTCATTTATACTTTGGTTAACACAACTAATTTAGTTTGTGACAGTTGGACAAGAATAGTTTATACCAGAAATAGGGAAAATTTAAGAACAATTAAATCAAATGAAATTGTTTATGTGATCAAAATAAGTAAAAAGACTCGCATATCAAACTTAAAATACTATACTTACTAAATTTTGCAACTGATTTTTGTGATTTAACGATTGTCCATCCAGGCTCCGAATACACAACTACCGGGCCGATTCGTCGACTATTCGAGTAGTGCAAATGAATAGGTATATTATTCTTCAGAAAAACATTCATTTTTGCATGTTTTCCGACCAGCTTCTTGTAGAGATCAATAGACGAACTACCTTTTAACATTTAGGGAAGTTTATACAAACGGACAAATTACCATCTTTTGGCCATAATGACCAAAAAATACGATCCTCTGGCCCCGGACTATAATACATGCTCTCGTTTATATAATCATGCAAAATAATTATTCTCTTAGTATCTACTCCAGACATCCCATGATCGCTTGTTAAAATAATGTTAAGTGATGACTTTAAAGACGGCCTAGTATCAATTAAGGATAGTAAGTACCCGATATCATCATTTAACTTCTCGATAACATTATAAATTTCAATAGAATCAGGTCCAGTCAAATGACCCTGTGAGTCAGGTTCATGAAAATATATTAGACCGAGTGTCACTCTATCTAAATCTAACCACTTAATAGTTTGATTAATTCGATCGACTAAAGGAAGTTGATGGTTATATTGTGAATAATAATAACTAGGTAATTGTCCTTTGAATGGTGTATTACTCCCTGGCCAAAATGTAACAGCACTTTTATGACCATGACGTTGATTTGTAACCCAAATTGGTTCTGACCCAACATCAAACCACTTTGACTGTGATAAATGCCTTGTATTACTCAAGTCAAAAGTATCATTAAGCTCAGGATCATAAAACATGTTATCAACAATACCATGACTCTCTTCATGCATCCCAGTTACCAGTGATAAGTGATTTGGTCCTGTTCGAGTAATAAACTCATTATGTACTTTCATAACACGTACTCCGGTCTTCCAAATCCGTTCGAAAGAGGAAATGTTAACATTACGAAGCTTAGCATGATCTAGATAATCATGACGGAAACCATCTAAGGATATCACAAGTAATTTTTGTTGTTTATAAGCCTCACAAATCCCTTGAAGCAATATAAAAAGTGATATCCAGGTAAAACAGTGGCAGAAACACTCCATAGTCATATAATAACTATTCTGAAAAAAATTGCTTCAAAGGAGTAGGAGCATATGGAACAGATTTTCGAGTATGTGATTATTTTATTGTTTAGTTTAATGGTTTTGTGTACAGAGAATAACAATATTCACTTCCACTCGTCCACTAAACAGCATTCGATACTAAAAAAAGAAGTTAAGATCACTTATCTTTATCTTGAAATGTTATAAATTTGAAAAACAAATTGTTGTAATAATAAATTATCAAACCATCTTACTCTGGTTTGGATAGTAATCAGATCATTGTGAAATTCCTTTAAATATGTAGTGGTAGATACGTACAACGAACAAACTTTTAAGCTTATGAATGAAGTGTCTTACCGAGAAATATGATCATCGTATAGATGAAAAATTAACAACGAATAAAACCAAATATGGTTCTACCAGTACAGAGTATATTTAATATGAAAACCAGCTACAATATTCGGGTTTCCCATAGTCCAACTGTGCGAAAATTGCAATAAAATTTCCAGTTTTAGGTTCTTAACAATTATTAAATGTTAATGAGAACTTTAGACGTTCATATACGTCGACGGTTTGGACATTTTCCTATCTTTAGGCGTTTGATAATTTTGCAAGTTGTGGCAGCGAAACTCGGAGGAAAAGCTTTGCGAACAGCTCTGGAATACATTTATATAGATATTCGATGCTGGTACGCATTTCAACTAATGGACATAAGGATGAGATATCTTCTTGAACTAAGTCGTATTTGCTATGTGCGATTGGCAGCAAAACTCAATCACAAATAAAATTATCCCTAAAGTGTACATCAGATGCATGAACAAGCTCATTTTACTGAAAAAGACCATAAGAGTGAACTACATGGACGAGTCAATTATATTTTGGAGTGACTACTCACCCTAATAGCTACAAAGCATATTGGACTATAGCTATGTCAGTTCACGATGAAAGACCCGATCGTTGCTGCTACCTTGACGTGGTGGTCGGGCTTGCCTATCGTGATGAAGCAATCGAGCTTTGCTGGCTGGAACAATCGTTCCTCAAGGTCCTACCATGCCAGACAGATCGGTTGAAGAGCGGTGAGACTAAAAGCAGCAAACCCAAGGTCCGAAGGCGAAGTCGTACTGCTGACTGTACAGAGGTGTGAAGGCAGTAAGGTGTTTCCTTCAGACAACCAGCATGACAGCGATGCTGCCTTCCCACAAGGAGGGGTGGGGTTAGAAAAGGTCGACCCTAAAAATGCACACCTCGCCTTATCCCACGGATATCCGTCTCCGGCGTAAGGTTTTTTTTGAAGAACGGAGCTAACACAAAAACTACCCACAAAAAGGTCGTGTGTGACCGACCTCAAGCAGTTGTCCCTTGGGCACTGCGGTCACGCTCTCAGGTCATTAAGACCACTCCTAACCCAATTTCCTTTTCAGGTACCTCTAGAAGAATCCTTCCACGGTGTGGGCAACCGGGAAGTGATAACTGCCCTCATACCTCTAACAACACTCAAGACCACTGTATTCATAGTCAATCTCCTTCTTTACTTCCTACTATTCCTTCTACCTTGACTTTCAACACTAAACTTCCTCTCTCGGTTTCCTCCTCAAGTGTCACCACGGCCAACGATTCTAGTGCGCGAAACGCTGTCCCAGGTCTACTAAAACCTCGCTACAAACTACACATTGGAGCCTTCAACGTACGTACCCTATGCCAAATCGGTCAACAGGCCTCCTTAGCTAAAACTCTAGAATCTCGTACCATTGATGTATGCTGTGTCTCCGAAACACGCATACAGGATCCCAGTGTGGTCATTCACTTGACCTCACCTCGCCAAAATGGACAGCCAACGAAATACACCCTCCATGTATCTGGCGACCCGTTGGCTAGTTCTCGCGGACTTGCAGGTGTAGGCATAGCACTAAGTACAAGGGCAGAACAGGCACTACTAGAATGGATCCCCGTTAACAGTCGCCTGTGTGCTGTCCGGCTAAATGGCTCCATAAGAACTCGGAAGGATAGGGACACACGTCGTTGCCTTTTCGTCGTTTCTGCCTACGCTCCCACTGACTGCAGCCATGATGAAGTAAAAGATGACTTTTACAGAAAACTCTCTGAGCTTCTTCAGAAAGCTAAGCGCTCAGACATAGTAGTCGTAGCGGGTGACTTTAATGCCCAGGTAGGCAGCTTAAATCAAACAGAAAGACATTTAGGTGGGTGTTTTAGTATTCCGGCTCAACGAACCGATAATGGGGATCGTCTGTTGCAACTATGCTCAGACAATCGTTTATTTTTAGCAAGCACTAATTTTAAACATAAGGAGAGACATCGTCTAACATGGCGACCACCTGCACCAAACCAACGATGGACTCAAATAGACCATATTGTCATCAGTCATCGTTGGAGAGGCTCAATAGAAGATTGTCGCTCGTATTGGAATACTTGTTTAGACTCTGATCACGCTTTAATACGAGCACGCATTTGTCTGCGCCTCAATGGACGCAGGAAAAGTACACTAAGAAGACCCATTAGGATTGAACTGGAGGACGAGAAAGCCAAATGCGAATTCCAGAAGCAACTGAGTTCACATCTAGGCAGTTCTGTAAACGAGACTGACCCAGATGCTGATTGGAAAGACACACGAACAGCTGTGGAAACGGCAGTAACATCTATTAGTCATTTAAACCATAGGGCTCCAAAAAACCAGTGGATTTCCTCTAAGTCTATTTCACTGATGGATTCGCGTAAACTCATCCCATCAGGCTCTGAACATGACGAAGAGCGTAAACAAATTAGATCTAGGTTAACTAAAAGCCTAAGGAACGATCGTGAGCAGTGGTGGGCAACGAAAGCAAAAGAGATGGAAAAGGCAGCGGCTGTAGGCAACACCAGGTAACTATTCAGACTAATAAAAGAAACCGGAATTAAGAAGTCAAGTGTGAGTGAGACAATCTCGGAAAAAGACGGAACCCTTATCTGCTCTCAACCTAAACGTTTAGAACGATGGGCGGAACACTTTAAGGAGCAGTTTAGCTGGCCTTCAGCTACTGCACAACTACCCACTATTCCCAGAAAACCTGAATGGAACATTGAAGTAGGCCCCCCGACCCTACTTGAAGTTCAAAAGGCTATAGGTAATCTGAAACGAGGAAGAGCAGCTGGTCCTGATGGATTGGCTCCAGAGGTTTTTAAATACGGTGGTCCAATTTTAGCGATTAGGTTGACTAATATTCTGGCTAAAATCTGGGAGACGGATGTAATCCCATCCGACTGGTCACAATCACTGATTGTCCCAATATATAAAAAGGGGTCAAAATCATCCTGCGATAACCATAGAGGGATTAGTCTGACTAACATAGCATCTAAAATACTAGCCTCAATAATTATCGGGCGCCTAACTAAGACTCCTGAACTGCAAACACGAGAAAATCAGGCTGGCTTCAGACCTGGTCGTGGCTGTATCGACCACGACGAGATATCCGTCTATCAATTAAAGGACGAGTATACTGCGCATCAGTTCGCTCTGTTCTACTTTACGGTTGTGAAACATGGCCATTAAGAGTAGAAGATACTCGTAGGTTACTAGTATTTGACCACAGATGCCTTAGAAATATTGCTCGCATCTGCTGGGATCACCGGGTAAGTAATAGTGAGGTTAGACGTAGGGTATTAGGGAACGATGGTAAATCAGTTGATGAGGTGATGAATCTTCATCGACTGAGATGGTTGGGCTATGTGCTACGTATGCCTGAACACCGATTACCAAGACGCGCTATGATGACTAGTACTGGGGATTGTTGGAAGAGAGTTAGGGGCGGCCAAACCAAAACATGGCATCAGTGTTTGAAGTCACTAACTTCTAGTCTGAGCCATGTTGGCAGATGCAGACTACCTGGTTGGGGTCCGCGTGACTATCGTAACCAATGGTTGGAGACTCTGGGTGACATGGTTCAGAATCGATCACAATGGCGTAGGTGTATACACTCTTTATCTTCCTTTAAATCTTGAGACTAAAATTGCTTCATATCTCTCTTCCTTCCTGTACTATATCCTTATATACAACCTATAATTTATATACTACTACCAACACTAGATTAACTACTATGAATCCGGTGTTCCGCTTGTTGTGCTAACGAGGTATGGCAACTTGGACCGATGCATATATGTGCCTGGTCCTGCGTTGTAGCTGACTCACGATGAAAGAACCAAAGATTCGTATGGGAACGTCTAAAACTATTTACCAATCATGACTTTTTTCATTATAAATTATTTCACAATCAAACAGTTTTCTTGTCGGCTAAAAAGTAGCTCAAGTTTGTTTATATACTTTACTACAACGAAACTTTATTTATTTATTTAAACACATAAATATTGGTACAAGGAAGCACCAGATAAATATGCGCCTCACAAATCTCATTCGATTTGTGTGAGGGCTGTGATACTGCCCGGAAGGGAAGCGGAAAAGAGGAAGGCCAAAGAAGTGAGTAGGACTTCCCTGGCAGAGGCTATATATTCGCGTGTCCATATGAGAGCATTTCGAGAGGGAGAGCAGACTCTCCCCACTCTCGGCTGTACCAGGGCATTTTCATACATAAGCAGGTGGAGTAGAAATAAGAAGTAGATTGGTGAGACTAAGTACTCGCTAACTGGTTAATAAGGCAAACATCACCATAGCTAGTTGCCGTACACTAGTTTGAAGAACAGATGAGTAACCAAACCACGAAGTGGAACCCATTCGTAGAGTCACTGGTTGTACGTCTACATTACGTTTACAGTCACAAACTGTCACGCTGAGATAGGAGCAAAACCGTAGTTTACGGACGAAGTAACCGTATTTAAGATAAAGTCTTAGATTCGGGAACGAAATCCATTCACCCATATGGCTAAATACATTTTGGTGTTATAGCTCGTCAGTTCGGGCGAGACTGAACTATATGGACGACCTTTGAAAGAATATTAAATGACCTTGAGTAATATTAGCTAATCAGAAGACAGTTAGTATACAGTAAGAATATATTATACAAAACTCAAAAATTAAAGGGGATACTGTTCTTTTACATGACTCAAAAACTTATCAAGGTTAGATATAGGTTCAGAAGTTCTAAAATTATATTGCATCCGGACAGGAACTCATCCCTGCGGCTCCATAGTAGTCGACCTCTGGAACCATAACAAGGTCTCAAAAATTCTTTTAGCCTCGACCACATAGCTTCAATGTTGTTGGTATGGTTTAGGGTTAAGGATGAGACAATAAATTATGGACGACCTTTGAGCTACGCTAGAGTGACTCTGAGAGTGTCAACATAATAACTAAGACTAAATGAGGGTTATAAACCTGTGTGAAGAATTCAAATTATGATTTACAGCTCATGGTTGAGGTTAGGAATTATACTTAGGGTTTTCATCACGAACTGACATCAGCTATATATACAAATGGATAATTGAATTTCGCGCCGAAATCTTATGATCACTCCTCTTGTAGACGCTGAATTATGACGTCTTCTCTAAAATCCGTTGTAAACTGACCGTACGTAAGCATCAGGTACCGAACAACCAGAACACATAATATCAGCACCTTCTGTTGATACATTCAAGACGAGATTGGACCTCCACAGTGCAATTAACTGCAAGGATTAAAATAGGTCACTAGACCTCCTATCCTTATTACTGAAGACTGAACTTAGCGCTTTGACCTTGAAAACCCGCGAAAGCTTCGGATTGGCCCGTCCATATAGTTTAGTCTCGCCCCTTCTTTATACAAGTAGGTAGGTGGACGTTTTCAGTGTCACTTAAGAGTTGCTTGTGTCGTTCATAAATTATATCCTCACAAAGAACTCAGGATAACTCGTTCTTCAGATATTTAGACACCAGCCACGAAATACGTGTGATAGCTAATGACGTTTTTTAGATGATTAGACTGAAGTAGGTGAAGCGGAGATCGGACCTAGGAGTCCGCAAATAGGATTTGGACATCTCAATCACTTGAGCAATGCCCCCATCACAGCACTGCTAGGCTGACAAGAAACAGTTACCGAAAAAAAATAGTAATGAACTGTTAGACAGAATTAAAGTCTTTCGTGTCACATATGATCCTGAAAAACCTTACCAACACGAACACGATCAGAAAGGCACATTTGGTGACCCTGAGTCTGAATGGAGCGGTTAGTTTAGACTGTCTCCATACTATATCCAATATCCTTAAGATGGATTTGTATAAAAAATTTATTTTTTTGTGCCAGGTGCTTGATGTTATAGAATATCTTTAGGACAATCACGCCCTTCAGTGTAGATGACCAAGCCATTTGGCCGTTAAGAGGCTCTGTATTTAATTCCAGTTCGATTGTATGCTGGTTATTATTAAAAATAAACATCCCAGTTACGTTCATATATACTTATGGACATAATCCGCATTGGAGGATAACGGAATTAAATGGACAATATATGAGATTGAATTTTGAGTGTGTATGTTATATGCGTTCATGACGAAGAGGGGATCGAGGCGAGTTGGTCAACTCCATTTAATCAAGCTTGCAGATTCAGATTTAGATTAACATCTGTGTATTAAGGACAGAAGGCCTGTCGTTTATGTTACTCACTCCTTAGTATGCTTCTGTGAGTGTTTATTCTTCTCTTGAATGAGTCAACTAAAGGTCCGGACGCCACTGCTTAGTATAACAGGTTCCCACAATTGATGACTCGGTCTGTAAACCCGTATACCTTGAGCACTTTGTTCGTTCTTAGCTTTTCTACTCGCCTTCCATGTCCCCTGAGATGTTCAGGTCTAGTTAGAAGAAGTAGAGAGGATATATTAGACTGAAAACCATTTCTTAGTATCTTATAGATCAAAATGGAATCACCTCTTCATCTGCGATAGGACAGAGTATCGAGGTCTATCTTTTCAAGCCGTTCATCGTATGTTACACCCCGAAGTTCTGGAATTGCATTAATGGGTGCCTTCTGTACTTCTTCCAGGATATCTGAGTCGCCTTTTAAACAGGGGCTTGAGGCCGGAACTTAATTCGTACGCTTAGTTCTCACCAAGGTTGTGTAGTGAACATGATAGTATCCGACTTGGTGAATGTCCGTCTTAAAGCCCATAGGGCTTTACATACAGTATAAAAGGTAAGGGACCAATTACAGAACCTTGAGGCACTCCGCTAATTACTGGCCCCTAGGTGGAGCGCTTGGATTTTACTCTTACTTTCTCTTTACGACCTATTAAGAAATCCTTAAGCCATTTTATGAGAGGTCTGGCAATACCTAGATTTCCCAGCTTCAAGAGTAGTCTATTTGTTGGCACCTTATCAAATGCCTTGCTGAAGTCTGTGTAGACAACATCAACTAATCTTCTATTGTATAGAGTCCCTAACTATTGTTCCACTGATATAAAGAGGTTTGTTGTGCAAGATAAACCCTTTCTGAAACCATGTTTTCCGTAGTTTAACAAGGTGTTGGTCTCCACGAGTGTCATTATGGTCTTTTTGATTATTCTTTCTAGTATTTTATTCACGACACCAGTGAGCCTGCTAACGGATCTGCAGTTCAATGGTAGTTGTTTCTATCCTGTTTGATGTATTAGAGTGACGATCGCATTCTTCCAGTCCGTAGGTAATACACCCTGGTCGAGTGAAATATTGAGTATCATAGTGGGACTGCAATATACTGTGCAATTTTCTCAGGATTTTAGGATAACGTTCATCCGGTGTTGATGACTTTTCCGTGTCTAAATTATTAAGAGCTTTAACTACATCGTCTTGATCAAAGTCCTCAGTGAGCAACGGTTTATCGACTTTGTATCTGAGTCTAGTTCTTCGTCTGGAAGAAGCTTTTGAGTGAAAACTGCCCTGAAATAGTTTGCTATGGCCTCTTCTTCTTCCTGATCATTCTCTATCATTTCAGATCCATTCCTTTGCTTAATTAGGCTAGGAATCAAATGCTGCGTTCTTGTTCTGTAATTTATGTAAGGGGATAGTCTCTTAGGTTGCTTCAGCGCAGATTGTGCCAAATGTATTTCTTATTTTCTCTAGGCTTTCCGGATTTTCCTTATACACTTATTTCTTACAAACCTATGGCCTGCATAGCACTTGCTGTACCAAGGCAGATGACAGCATTCCACTATTTTTTTGTATTAGTAAATGTCGAATATCCATGCGTATCCAGGGATGGTCGTGCTTCTTCTTCTTCTTCTTCAAGACTACTGTTACACCGGGACTTAAGTTTGCTTAGGAAGAAGTCGTCCACTACACTTTCTGGACCAAGATGTACTACAACTAATTCAATGTATCGCTGTCTACATCTAAACCTGCAACGCACCAGTTCACATGTCCGTGAATTATGTGCCACGATTTCAACAGCTCAAATAATAATATATTTCTGCAAGAGCAGGTATACGCCATTTTTACAGGCATGATCTACATGTTACAACATATACTGGTTCACAGAATGCAACCCAATCAGGGTTGTTTAGTAAATATAATCTATAAATTTTGATAGCAGTTCGTTCGTTCAGATATAACGGGTTTTCTTCAAAATATTTTCCAAAGGGGCATCGCGTCCACGTTACATACCAGATCCGATCTCTACAAGAAGCCTATTAGGGTTTTGGTCGTGCTAAGTATTTATGTAATGCAGCTTTTTAAGTTTATAGTTGTTAGAAAGTAGACTTTTGGAGCGCCTGGCACGAACTATGACCTTGGGAGAGCGAGTTCGTCGAGCCTGTTTCAGAAGTCAGAAGTTACATAACTTCACCCTCAGAGCAAGATTCTGAAGAGAGAGAAAAAAAGAAAGAAACGGAGGAACAGCAAGGCACTTGGATATGAACGATAACCAATGCTTAACATTTAGTAGTGGAAAAGACGGAGGTATGATAAATTATCAGAATAAATTGATACTAGCTCATGATGCTAGAGTGAAATGTGATCAGGGGCTACAGATGAGAGAGCGCAGTAATAAACAACAATAAGTTGTGATATTTATCAAGGTGGAGTGGGTTGGAATGAAGGGGGGAAGTGGAGATTGGAATGAGGAAGACTGTTTATTAGAACCGAGAGTGCATATAGAGAGTAGAGTGTTTTTTTCATCATCCGATGTCTGCCACACAGTTTTCATGTAAAAGTCCGAGTTGGCATTTTATAGTTTGTCCTAGTAGAATAGTTAATCCAGCATAAAAATTATAAACATGAGTCTGAATGGTTAGTGTAGGAGAACAACCTCATTATTACAGATTGATTGACTTGCTCTCATCCATAAAGAGCCTTATACATACAAAATTTTCAAATGGTTAGGGTACTTTTCGGGTTTAATATAACGATGTTTCTCCTACGGTTTAATCTACCAGACCTAGTGAATACAAAATCAGCCATCTCAATTTGAATATCAAACACTCCTGGCGTTAACCATGTTTCTCAAATAGCAACGACATCCGGTTTTTTTATATCCACCATTGTCTTGAGCTCCGCAACTTTATTTAATAGACAGCAATCACTTGTGTAGCACACCTTCGATTTTATGGAGAATTTCCCTTACCACTCAGAGTGGTTTTGGGATCGTTTCGCTCCGAACTCTTACAATTTCAAGACCTATAAATAAGAGGTCCTTTCAACGTTTTGGTGGCGCTAATTTATCTTCGCTTCAACCGATCTGTTTTAATAGGGTCAATCAGGCTGGGATCCTAACCAACGTGTACACTGGATCCGATCAGTTTGCGTGAGTTTTGCAGTATACGTTTTCTTTCTCCAGACGAAGCGAAGGTAACCTTTAAGAGGCGCCTTTCTGAGTACTTTCAGGATTCACATTTTGTCCTATTCTATAAATTTTACAGGTGCTAACTCCTGAAACTATTTCTGGGAGCAGCTTGCTTATTGAGGACTTAATCTAGCTGAGGATGTGCTCAAATCTAGCCTTTGGATCATTTTTGGAAAATCCTCTTAGCTTATTAAAAATGATTGACTTGTCAGTGAGGTTCACCTTGACACTGTGGAATTTAAATTATTGAAATCATCTCCCTGAATTACAATTCGGAGTCAGACGTAGTGGTCTCACCTGCTTCCTTACTTTTCTTTTCCTGCGTGTGGTTGTAAGCTGATAATTTTCCTTATTTTGTCTTTTGATCACATCCTTTACACCACTCAGACTTTGCTCCCCCGTAATCTGTTTCGCGTTGATATGTGAATCCGGAACTGAAACTCCACATTCATATACATTAGTGCTGCCTTCGATTTGTTTCTGCTCATCATGCTCTTTCTTTTTTTATCACAATACTTAGGTTGGTATGCTTGTTATTCGCCTCTCTAACAGGGTACACCATGATCTCATTCAAATCCAGAGCTGGGCACATGATAAAGCTCGCTGTTTCGTGGAAAACTGAATTATGCTCATCTACTGTTGCTTGTTTATCTGAGGGGAATTTTCCAGCTATGTTAAGCAGCCCAACCGCCGTAAGAATCAGCAGACGCTTTTTAGAACAGCATGCTTTGCACAGCCAATGTGATAGTGGCTTGCAGCACATATGATATTCAGCCGATGTGAGCTAAGTGTAAGCATTGTGACACCACATATTGCAGTTGTTACGTTGCATTCCATCATTGACAGATAAATAGTATACAGATCTACCACAACGATGTTTAACTTGCTCCATAAATTTGTTTTGTGATCTAGCAGAACTGGTCTTTGAAAGCTTCATAGTGGTGTACCCCAAACACAAATAAAAATCGAGGTTTGTATATTACTGTACCTAACAAAAATCCGACTTCAGTAGATGCAAAAACAACTTAACACTTTTGGATATAAACAGTACTGAAAGATATACTCAAGGAAAAAATACGCCAGTTCCCTTTCTTTTACATTCGCTAAAATGTAAAGATGACAAACTTCTCTAGAAAAAGCGATACTCTTGGATGCTACTTGACCTGTAATAATTTAAATTAAGGCAAAAAACAGTTGTCTTAGTGTGTAATTAAACGGCCAGTACTATAAAATATAATCAGAGGAAAAATACCACTGTCCCCTTTAAACAGCAAGTGTTATTTACTCAATAATTGTAGTCAGATCAAAAATAAGTTATAGATATATGATGAATAGGGTAATCAGTGAAACCACATACGATCGTACAAAAACTGTCAGGGTTAATAATTCAATGAGTGACAAGATCAAATGTGGCTTGAGGAGGATGAATAGATTGGTTATAGATATATGATGAATAGGGTAATCAGTGAAACCACATACGATCGTACAAAAACTGTCAGGGTTAATAATTCAATCAGTGACAAAATCAAATGTGGCTTGAGGAGGATGAATAGATTGGTCTGCCCAGAAATGAGAACAGTCCATGTGTGCAGTCGAGTATTTGTGA